CCCGGGTTGGGGCACCCCGAGGACTCCAGCGCGCACCGAAAGGATTATTCGGGGAGATCCTCGGGGTGCCCGGCCCTGGGGAGCTCAAAGCAAGGTCCCTGCCATGGATTCAGGCATTGCTGAGAGTATCCCAGGGGTACCTGTCCATGCTAGACATGGAGCTCTCTAATGGACTGTAATTGGGTTGTAAAAGTGGTGCTCCAAGTGCCAAAGCAGTGTGGGATTGGGATTAAGAAATGAGCAGTGATGGTCCAATTGGCTGTTTTCTCTTGAATGTAATGGTAAGAGCTGCAGGATGGCAAGGTGTGTGTTCCAGTCCCCAGCATTTGGTTTCCACATGTCCTGGTCAGACACAGGTCCAACTTCCTCAGTCCTTAACCCAAGAGAAGGAGAACTAAGGACTGGCAGTGTTAAGGTGATTGGTGTGACAGGGGTTAAACTGGGAAAACATTGGGTGATTCTTCACTTTGTCTATTTGTCAAATTCAACCAAACTTCTGCTCAGAAGAGATTGAGTGGAAAGGTTGAGGCAGAAATGAGATTGTAAAGTGAGGATATTAAAACTGTAATTGCTGAAACTAAATGTGTCAAAGCAGCAGCACTTGTTGTGCAGGGAATAACTCCTGTCAGCAGCAAGGCCCCGACTGAAGTGGCAGCTGCAGTTGTTCCTGTGGTGTGGGCCAGTGGAATTGCAGGAGAGTGGAAGAGGGCAGAACTTGTAGGTATTACCCCTAATGTGGGATCTCTCCTGGTAAGGCAAACCCAGTATCCTTTAAAATCAGAATACCAGACGGGATTGGTTGCAGCAACAGCTAAATTTGCTCATCCTGGTTTGCTCGTAGGATATAGATGCAAGAACCTGCCAAGAAAACCAATGGCCAAGATGATTGATGAGTGCAGGACCTGAGAGAAGCACCTTAAATGACAACCTGGAGGAGTTTCCAGTATTGGATTTAAAAGATGGCCTTTGCTGCATCTCCTTGAGCAAGGAAAGCCAAGAAACCTTTGCTTTGGAAGGAGAGAATCTGGAAAGCGGGAAGGAAGAAAAGAAGCCCCCTGACTCCTCCCTGAGCCCCAGACAGCCCATGAAGTGCCTTGCTGGGAATGGTAGGACGGGGTGGACTCTGGATTGCTCCCTCTGGATGTGTGGTAAGACTGTTATGCCAACTTCTAACAATAGCATGTAAAGCATTTGCTGCCTTGAATAGGTGGTGCAAGGGCAGCCTTTAAGCAGCTGAAGCATTCCCTGAGGAGAGCTCTGGGTCTGCCAGATGTCTCAGAACTGTTGGAAGCATCTTTGTTGGGGAGGGCAAACAAAGGACAAGGTGTGCAGTGACCCCCCCGACAAGGGACTTTGAGTTAATGGCATCCCTGCAAGTGAACTTTGTGGGCTGTTCCCCCTGTAGGGCAGGTGATAGTCCTAGCTACAGTGATGGGGAAAAATTGTTAAAAGGGAGCTCCAAAAGCTGGAAATCCTCCAGGAGGCTCTTGGCAAACAGAGTTTCCTGAGTTCCCCCTGCAAGAAGGACAGTGATAGCTTTTGAGTGCTGGTAGATCCTTTGAATAGATGGCCTTGAGTGTGTCCTTGTTGCACCAGTAGGCCTTCTCAAACTCCCTATATTCCAGGAAATATACATATTGAATTTTAAAATGATCTCCATAATCCTTTGTTGTCTTGAGGCTCTCCCCTCAGGAACT